GTGGTGAAGGGGGGGAAGTCGGTAAAGGACGTCAGCTGAGCGGCACCCACCTCACCGACGGCAGAATCGAGCTGCTGCGATAGGCGGAGGCTGAGCCCCGTGCCTGCAGGGACCAAGGAACCCGTTACAACGAGAAACTCCGGGAAAAGACAAATTGCACTCAAGCAAGAGGGGCCAGATCAGTGACTGCTGGACGGCCTGCATGAAAAGGCTGACTTTAGAGACGAATGGCAGGGTCTGAAAATTGCGGTGCTGCAGGCAAAGGCTTGAAATGCGCTGAGCGATATCAAGCGAAGCATGCCAAAGAGCGTCAACCTGCCATGGGGGCTGACTGGTAGTTCCAGAACGTACCTGTCAGGTTGAAGTGAAAGTGCGCAAAGATGCCATGATGCAGGCTCCGAACCAAGCCGTTCAGCAACGGCCGCCCCTCAGTCTTGTCCCGGCTCGGGAAGTACCCGTCCATTTCCCGCATCCCGGCTTGCGCCTCATCCAGGTAGGTGTTGAAGAAGTCCTGATTGGTCAGCCTTCGCAGCTCCTCTACCGTCGCTTGCAGCTTCTGCTCCACCGCCTCCCGCGACAGGCTCAGCAGGCAACCCCAAGTCTTCAGCAGCCAGTCCTGAAAATACAACAGAGACCCATGAGCGACTTGGAGGCAGCAGAAGAAGAAGGTGATGGCAATGAGATGCAACGATGCAGACTGCGGAGGGGAGAAAGTGCGAGAACGAGTTGAAGCTTCAGCAGCTATTGCAGGAGCAAAGGGACTAGCATCGGTTGACGTCTGAACCCCTGCCCCAAGATCTCCCAGGAAACAAGCAACCCTCACCTCCTGTGCACTGATGCCGACGAGCTGGAATAGGAGGAAGCCCTTGGGGCTGGCTTTGTCTCTGTGCTGCCTCAGGTACTCGCGGAGGCCCAATGCGAACGCCAGCAGGATGCGGGAGATGAACTTCCTCATGTCATGGAGCCGCTGGTCGCGGAACTCTCGCAGGCGAGGACCGTCAGTCTCGACTGCCTCGTATCGCTGCCCATGCGTTTCACGGAGTCGATCGATGGCCTGCCGCAGGATGTTTGTCCCGGGCTCCTTCTCCGTGGAGAAGCTCAAGTAAAAGCTGTACTCATGGCAGGATGCCTCGAGCGCCGTGCGGGACTTCCCGCCTCCTGAAGGCGCAATGAGCGCAGTCGCGCGCGTCTGCACCTGGTCCTGGCCGTGTCCCGATGCGTGCAGCTGCTTGTTTCCCGCCAACAGCGTCTGGGCGTTCGTAAGGCCATCCTCGTTGCGTCCGGGAAGCTTCGTAAGCAGCAGGCTGGGCGACTCCCGGAAGTAAACGATAGAAACATCTCTCCTCGCACAGGGGTTGCTAGAGGGTAGGGGCCTCAGGTCAAGCTCAGGCTGCCCATTCTTCTCTGGGGAAACAAAAGCACGCTCCAGGACCTTGCGGACTTCCTCATCGACGCTGTCGTCCCAGTCCTCATCATTGCTCCTCCCTGCGAATTCAAAGGACACGAAAGTGAGGACCCTC